TTTGCCTCATGTGTACTCTGTCTCTGTGTTTTTGTGATAACAGATATAAAGAAAAATCTGTTCTCTTTACACTACCATATAAAAAAAAGAAACCTTGGATAAGGTGAAAGATCTTGGCAGATATAACAATTTCATTATGGGTTTCTGAGCTCATTTTTTAAGAGGTACTCATTAGCTGTCCTATTTATGAATTTTACTTAAATATGTCAGGATTTTTAGCTGGCAATGTAACTCATGGGACTTATTTAGAAGTACAATATTCTTACACACAAAAATAAAGTCATCTATGTGCATAGAGCAATTAGCAGATACGCAGTATTATCTAGTTGTGTTAACATTATGGAAATTATTCATTTAAAGTGCATTTCACAATATTAGCAATATTGATGTTGCAAAGACTATAAATATTCCCTGATTACAAACTTTGTTTTTAATGCTAATTTCATGAAACTGGTTGTTGCATTTTCAAATGCAAAGGCTATACTTCTTAAACTTCAAGCATTATTTATTTAAGAACTATGGTTAAGCCTACAGTAGTTTTTTCTTCATTTTGTTTATACTTTAATTTTAGTCATCTTGTCAGGCATATCGCATACTGTCATACTTGTCTTCTGCTATTGAATTTTTTTTTTTAGGGTAGAGTATATTAAACTACTGAGTTTTTAAGGTTGTTGTGACTCCCTCCCTGCTTCCCCATATCTTGATTTATGGACCCCTAAAACTTTTCTAGTGGAGTACCTATTGGCTGCTTGGAACACTGTAGTAAGTGTAACCTATGGACAGAGGGTTGCCTTAGATAATACTTGCAGCTTCCTTGGAGTTACCCTGGCCCATACCATGGTCACGGTTCCCGCTTCCAGGTGGGACGAGTGACCGGTCGGGAGGTGGCAGTGGTGGGAGAGGACGAAAAAGAAGAAGAGGAGGAGGGGAAGGGGATGATGCGGTGGCTGCGGTGGTGGCTGCTGTTGCGGAGGAGGGGCCGGAGAGGCAATGCCGTTTCCTGTTACAACCCAGGGATCACAAACACATCAACTACAGAAGAATTATGGCATTACCTCACCTGTCAGTTTAGCTGTCCCCAAGGAGTTTGACTGCATGCTTACCCAGAAACCAATCGAAACCCTAAAACCTTACAGTGTATTTGAAGAGGAGGAAGAACTGCAATGCAGGATTCTCATTTTGGGAAGATTAAATAACCTGGTAAAGGAATGGATACGGGTGTCCTGCTTTGAGGTAAACCAGAACCAATTTTGGTCAGTAACTTCACTTCTTGTCAGTAACTTGGGTCAGTAACTAACTCTAACTACTGAAATTAACAGCATATTGTGCAGACAATGTTCACTCTCTCAGGGTGATAAGACCTATGTTTATAGTTGATGCCCAGGCATGGTCTGCAGAGACAGTCTTGCTTATACTTATTGCTATAATACCCAAGGCCAACCAACTTTGTTATTTGCCCCGTGGGAGGGTTGGAAGCAGAAAAGCATAGTGGGGTCCCACCTGCAGGGAGGAGCAGACAGGACAGGTGACCCAAAACTGACCAACGAGGGTATTCCATCCCATCTGCCTCACGCTCAGTATAAAGGCTGAGGGATCAAAGGGTCAGGGCTCTTCCTGCAATGGCCAACGTCTGAGGAGGACTCTGTTCATCTGCCTGCGATCCTGATCCTGAATGCAGATCCAGAATCCAGTTCCCGTCTGTCACTGAGTCCAGCCTGGGACTGCCCCAGTGCCAGCCGGTGTCGTGATTGTCATCTCAGGAGCTTGATACGGTTTTGTATATATTTCATTATTTCTTTTTTATTATTATTATTAATATTTTATTAAAGTAGTTTAGATCCTTCTAAACTCGTAAGTCTCTTTTTCCTCCCCTGCCCCTCTCTTTGAAGAGGGGTAAAGGGGAGCATCTGTCAGTCCCATCTGGGGTCCCCCAGGTCCCCAGTAGCTGATTTGGCCTAAACCACGACAACGGGAAATCAGTGAAAGCAAGAATCTTCCACAGTCTGTAGTAGAAAACGTTGAAGGAGAAATTTTTACATTTGGATCCTACAGATTAGGGGTTCATACAAAAGGTGCTGATATTGACACACTGTGTTGCACCAAGACACGTTGAAAGAAGTGATTTTTTCACATCGTTTTATGAAAAACTGAAACAACAAGAAGTAAAAGATCTGAGGGCTGTTGAAGAAGATTTTATCCCAGTTATTAAACTTTTTTTTTTGTTGTAATAGAGATTGATATTTTTTTTTGCAAGATTAGCACTGCAAACTATTCCTGAGGACTTAGACCTATGAGACGATAGCCTACTTAAAAATTTAGACATTGGGTGCATGCAAAGTCTTAATGGTTGCTGGGTAACTGATGAAATTCTGCATCTTGTACCAAACATTGACAACTTCAGGTTAACACTGAGATCTATCAAACTGTGGGTAAAACGCCACAACATCTATTCCAATATACTAGGCTTCCTTGGCAGTGTTTCCTGGGCTATACTAGTAGCAAGAACTTGCCAGCTTTATCCAAATACAATAGCATCAACTCTTGTACATAAATTTTTCTTGGTATTTTCTAAATGGGAATGGCCAAATCCACTGCTATTGAAACAGACAGAAGAAAGCAATCTTAATTTTCCTGTAGGGACCCAAGGGTAAACCCCAGTGATAGGTACCATCTTATGCCTATAATTACACCAGCATACCCACAACAGAACTCTACCTACAATATGTCCATTTCCACACAGATGGTCATGGTTGAGGAATTTAAACAAGGTCTTCCTATCACAGATGAAATTTTGCTGAGTATGGCAGAATGGTCCAAACTTTTTGAAGCTCCAAACTTCTTTCAAAAGTACAAGCGTTGCATTGTACTTCTAGCAAGTGCACCGACAGAAAAATAGTGACTCGAATGGGTGGGCTTGGTGGAATCAAAAATCCATATTCTAGTTGGAAACCTGGAGAAGAACAAATTCATTACACTGGCTCATGTGAATCCACAGTTGTTGCCAGAACCCAAGGAGAATCCTGACAAGGAAGAATACCATACAATGTGGGTGATTGGGTTGGTGTTTAAGAAAACCGAAAATTCTGAAAGTTTAAGTGTTGATCTTATGACATTCAGTCTCTTACAGGCACAGTTTATAGGAGGCAATAAACAGCAAGATGTTTGAGATGGACATGAAGATTGCTGCAAGGCATGTGAAATGTAAGCCGCAAGTCATGTGAAATGTAAGCAACTTCACCAACTGCTACCTAATCCCGTGCTTCAGAAAAAGAAAAAGCATTCAACAGAAGGGGTCAAGTTGACAGCTCTGAATGACAGCAGCCTAGATTTGTCTATGGACAGTGATAATAGCATGTCTGTGTCTTCTACTAGTGCTATGAAGACGAGTCCACTGAACAGTTCTTGAAGTTCTCAGGGCAGCAGCAGCCCCGCGCCAGCTGTAACAGCAGCATCTGTGACCAAAATACAGGCTTCTGAAGTCACTCTGCCACAAATAAATTCCAGTGAAAGCTCGGGGGTACTTCAAATGAAATCATTCCTCAAACTGCCACACAACCAGCCATTCATCCACCACCAAAGTCTGTGGGAAACTGGCTAGTTGAGAAGGGTAACATAGATATGATCCAGCTGGCCAAGCAGGAGCTTGAGAAACATCGGACTCAGCTCCTGTGATTGCTAAATTGGCGAGGACACCCTAACCCTGACTGCAGGTGCTAAACGGTAATGAGAAGCTTGTGGTCACTCAGGCATGGGAAAAGAGGGAGTAGCTGCCTCGGAGAAGAAGAGGTAACTAGCCGCAGATAAGGAGCTAAGGGCGG